TAGAAAAACTCATGGAACCAGGCATGGTGGTGGGCCTCTGTAATCTGAGCTCTTAGGAAGCTGAGGTAGGAGGATTGTGAGCACAAAGTCAGCCTAGTTTAAGTACCAAATTGAAGGCCAGCTAAACTAGACCCTGTCTCAAAACAAAAAGCTCTTGGATATTTATCAGGTGTACATATTTTGGGTAGTGTATATGAATGTTGTATGTCTCATTTCAGTGACATAAATTTGTGAAGTGGCATTGCTTAATTAAACTTCTGTTTTTTTGTACCAGGAATTGAACTCACAACCTTGTGCTTGCCAGGCAGGTGCTTGTGCCTCTGAGCTAAACCCCTGACCCTTATCCAACGTATTTTAAAATTGTCAGTAGATTTTACCAAATTACTGTGTTTTCCAGAAAGATTGAACTGATTACTCCCAGCTACACTGTAGACGCTGATGGTTCTATTGAACTATATTATCTTGAAGAAACCAGGCAAGCAACTGCTTATGGTGTTGAATGAGTGGCTGCCTGATAATGTAAATCTGTTTACTCAACGTATTTCAGAGCCTTGATATAATAAATCTTCAGAATTTTTTCCAGTTAGTATGTGAAAGAAACCTTATTGTCTTAGTTTGCATTTATTTGCTTAGTGGTACTGGTGATTGAATCCAGAGCCTTCACACTGAGCTACAACCCCAGTCTGTTTTGTTTTTTTCTAGAAACAGGGTCTTGATAAATTGGTCAAGGTTGGTCAAGACCTTGCAGTCATTTTACCTCACTGTATGCCGTCTGCCATTCCTGACTAAATAGAGCAATGATTTATTTATTTATTTATATTTTTATTTTAAGTACCAGGGATTAAACTCACAACCTCGTGCTTGCCAAGCAGACGCCTATACCACTGAGCTAAACCCCTGGCCCTAGAATAATGTTTTAAATTTGAGTAACTGTTACGTGTTAGACTAACGTCCAAAACATCCCACATGTATTTCTATATTATCTAATTTAAGGCTCAGTGGGTCTTATAAGGTAATTATTATTCCATTGTACCGATTAGAAAATGAGCTTGTTTAAAAGGGTTGTCCAAAGGGCTGGGGATTTAGCTCAGCGGCATAAGTGCCTGCCTTGCAAGCAGGCGGTCGTGAGTTCGATCCCTGGTACCGATAAAAATGAAAAAGACAAAAAACAAAACAAACAAACAAAAATAAATAAAAGGGTTGTCCAAGATTATAAGTGTAACTAGCAAGGTCATTACTTGAATGACTGACAGTAACCTACCTCTAGAGGCCATGTAGACTCCACACTAAGATACAGTGGCTTTATAAGTGTCATGTGCTTTATTTTCTATGCATTTGGGAAGAAGACAGTTAACTGGAACGAGAATAAAATATTTAAAATACTTTTAGGACACCACATTTTCAAATACAATGTTTATCATTTGAAATGAACAATTAAAGCTATACTTACCCTTCTTAAGGTGTGTGCTAATAGTTTAGAGATACTCTCATCAGGCAGCCAGTGTTAAATGTACTGCCACTTTGTTTTCTTGGGAAAAACAGCAGACTCTATTAAAATCTGTTGTAGGGCGTGGTGGTGCACTCCTGTAATCCTGAACTGCTGCAAATTTGAGGACAGCCTGGGCTACATAATGAGTTTAAGGCCAGCCTGCAAGACCCTGTTTCAAAAAACAAAAAAAAATTGTTAAAAAATCGTTGGACATGGGCTCAGTGATAGAGTGCTTAGTATGCATAAAGTCTTGGGTTCACCTGCCCCCACAGTTGTACTGTACTTTGTGTCTATCTTCAGACTTCTTCCTTTTTAGTAATTAGCATTGTCTTTATATGGAGTAGAGTGGTTTTTTCCCATTTTTTAATGAGAGTTTTGGGTTTCTTTTCTGTATATAAACTAAGAAACTGATCTCTTTGAATTTTCAGAATAAGTGCTAATTTTCATTTTGCACAGCCATGGGAGTATTGGTGTAATTTCCTGTCAGACTGTCTCACAAAGCAGTAGTTAGCCCTGCCATGTGGCACACACCTGTAATTCCAGAGCTGGAAAGCAGAGGCAGGACGATTTGCCACAAGTTCTAGGCCAGCCTGGCCTATGTGGTGAGTTCAAGGCCAACATGAACTACATAGCAAGGCCCTTTTCAAAAACAAACAAGCAGACAAGCAAATTTTTTTTTTTTGTCTTTTCCTTTTTATCGGTACCGGGGATCGAACTCACGACTGCCTGCTTGCAAGGCAGGTGCTTATGCCGCTGAGCTAAATCCCCAGCCCTAGACAAAGTTTTTAAAAAACCCCACAAAAGGGGCTGGGGGTTTAGCTCAGCGGCATAAGCACCTGCCTTGCAAGCAGGCAGTCGTGAGTTCGATCCCCGGTACCGATAAAAAGGAAAAAGACCAAAAAAAAAAAAAAAAAAAAAAAAAAAATCCCACAAAAACAAAGCAATAGTTATTTGAATCATTGCCTAAGTAATTACAGCTTTTTAGAGTGTTAATTTTTTTATGCTTTGACTCAGTAACCTGTGGTGGATAAGTTGAAGAAAGGGAATGTTGTGAACTGTCTCGGTTTTTATGCTATCTCTGTAAAATAATGGTGTCCTAAATCCTGCATTGCATAAAAATTTACGTCCTGTTACTGTGTGATACATTGGCAGTGGCAGTGCTTTGTGGTTCTGTCTGATTTTTTTTTTTTTTCCAAACTTGTTCAGTTCTTTTTTTTTTTGGCCTCTTAACATTGACAGAGTGTCAACAGTTCATCCTGGGAACTAGTTAAAATGAATAGAAGATATTGATAGCATGTAGCAAAAATTTTGGAGCATTTGTTTAAAAAAGGTAAAAATGCCTACACTAGCCAAGTTAAGAATTAAAAAGAAAAAAAGTAGTTGGAAACTAGCCAAGTTTAGAAAAAAAAAGTTTTTAATGTTTGGGAAAATTGGAGGAGTACAGAAAAGAAAGATGTGTTGTGGTATAGTATATTATTCACATCAGTGAACAATATTTCATAATACATTGCTATTTATGTTACTGTTGCTAAGATTGGAATATATAATACTGGTGGGATATGGTGAGGGAAATTGGCTAGGTTGAGATAGCTAAATCCTCATTTTTAAGGGCATAGGTAATCACTGGAATAGAAATAGCAATAGCAAGATATTGTTTGGAAGTATGGTAAGTAAATGTGACGAGAAAGCTAAAAACAAAACAAGATGTTTGCATGCAGGTATTGGTAGAGAACTACCTGTGAGCTGTTTTATTTTATCGGTACTTGGAATCGAACTCAAGACCTTGTATTTGCGAGGCAGATGCTTGTGCTCCGCTGAGCTAAATCCCCAGTTCCCTGTAAGCTGTTTTATATGCTGATTTTTAGAGTTATGTATATGACAGGCCATAGTTATAGCCCAGTGGCACAAGTGCCTGCCTGGCAAGTGCAAGGTCATGAGTTCAATCGCTGGTACCAATCAATCAATAAGATAAAATAAATCATGTGTATGGATTGGTTTGATTTTAAAAACTATAGAATATAAGTAAAGGATACTTAAAGGTATATAAATATGCAGACTAATCTTTTTATGTTTAAAAACTACTTATATACTTACTGGAACTTTATACTTTCCACTTTAGAGCCAGCATCACATAGAAGAGTTTAGGTATGACCTGAGAAAATAAACACTGGCTTAGTTTATTAGTTACCTATAGCAGAATGTTTAGCTTTCATAATTTATGGGAAGGATTTCTTTCCAGGTGATGGACTAATCTGAGTATCTGCTGGATTAGTGCCTAGTCTGTAGCTGTGCTTGATTAATGCCCCAGTTACTAACTTCGCAACAAAAAAATAGTAGTCACTCATGCTTCTCAAATGATCTGCTAGATAATTGTCCGAGAAAGGTGCTACTATAAATAGTCTCTCCTTATTCTGCCAGTGTCCTTGTTTTTCTGTTTTTGTTTAGCATGCAGGAAAACAAGAATGGGGCTTTATTTTCTGTAGGAATGTAAAGGTCTCTGTTGTAATCCATGCCCTTTACTACAGAAGCAATTGCACCTCCCCTTCATGACCTAATCTCCCACCCTCCAGAATGCAGCTTACCTTTTCCTTCTGAGAAAAGCTGTGGTCAGGGTAACTGCCTTCAGTTTTACCTGACCCCAGTCCCTGTCCCTTTTCCCCCAGACTAGGTATTTGGCGGTTTGGGTTCTTTAATTCTTTCCAAGATTAGGTTACAATCTCAGCTGTGTTGTTTAGGCTAGTTAGAAAATAACGTGGATCATTTAGAAATTTCTGGATTGTTCTGCTGCTTTTCCTGTCCCATGAAGACTAGTGGGGTTACTAGTCTTCATGGGACGGGATACCTATATAAGCACAATTCTTCACTACCAAAGAGCTCCCAGCTGCATCTCTTTTTTTTGGTGGTCTGAATGACTGAATGACTGGAGGTGGTAAAAGAAAGGCACCGGTGCTCAAGGTAGTAAGATTCAGTTTTGAGAAAAGAGTAAAGCAGTGGAGACTAAAGGCTGGATGGCTTGCTTCTGACCAAGGAGTAGGAGAGGCAGTGTTCACAGGAAGCCAAGAAACGCTGGGGAGAAGGGAGAGAAATAGGCTTGTTTAGCCAAGAACCAGGTGCAGTCATCAGGCCGTCAGGGTGGACTTTTCTTTCTGAGTACCATGCTGTGTTGGAAACCCAGGAAAAAGAGTGAGGGTGCCAGAGTGGTGGAGACTGCCTGAGACTCTAGCGGGTTCCACAAGCCGTACATCAAGCACACTCAGTGGGAGGGAAGAGGAAGTGTGTTCTGGAATAGCGCAAGCAGCTTTTGCCATTGGCCGCTGGGCCTGTCAGTCGCCTGGGGCTGAGCCTGAAAAGAGGAAGAGGGAAAGCCAGGCTATTGCCTGGAAGGGAGGAGGAGGAAAGCTGAGCCCAGCCCGAGCCAGGGGGCGTGGGGGCTGGGACGGCAGGCCGATTGGCAGGGCGGGGCTGCTGTGGATCCTGGCCACTTCTCCTAATCATCCTTCTTCTGATTCAGGGTGGCATTGTGCTTCTCAGCGTGCAGGAGAAGCCCCAGAAGAGAAGTTGAGACTGAGCCCAGAGAGCTAGGTTGTTTCAGCAGGGAAGACTCCCTTCCCCCGTGCTTCAGGCTGCTGAGCACTGAGCATCACTCAGAATGGAAGCCATCGCCAAATATGACTTCAAAGCTACTGCAGATGATGAGCTGAGCTTCAAAAGGGGGGACATCCTCAAGGTAAGTGTTGATGCCAGGCACAATATTGAGGTCATCTCTTCCGTTGCTTCTTTACCATCTTTCACGCTGGTAACAAAAGAACCTGTGCTTGTTCTTTTTTCATTGCACACTTCTAACATTCAGCATCAGGTTTGAGCTGTTGGATAGCTTGTGATAGATGCTGGATAGACAATATTCACTATGACTTAAGAGAGTTAGTGTGTTGTGTGGTCTTTAACTGCCTTTGTGTGACTGCTTAGAGTATTTCTGATTGTTGATACTGGTAATGTTTCGTGAAAAGTCAAAGTGGTAAGATTGTAGAAAGGAAGGGTATGAATTGACTGATTTACTTAATAGTTTATTTTTCAAAAAACCAGGATTTTTTTCAGACCTAAACTTGAAATATTTAGTCTTAATTTAGACAGTCAGAAGATGTTGCATTTTGTAATATGATCATGGTAGTTTAGAAATTAATTTTTGGACTTTAGAGATGTTACTAGAAGTATATGCCAAAACTCTTTATAGAACCTGAATGTATTTTTATTTGTTGTGGAAAAAACTAATGGGATTGTAAATAATAAGGTTCAACTTGCTATTGCACAGGTCAGATTTTGATTTTAAGAGAAACTTGAACAGCTACTCTGTTAAAATCTAATTACACAAAAGAAATCTGCTGACAGTTTAGATACAAGTTCTTCATAGCTCATAGCTTATTTTGAGCCCCACTGTTTACATGAGCATGGGCTCCCCACTTGGCACTGTTATTATATTGTCTGTTCAGTTGACTGGAGCAGTTTCCTCATTTGGATAATTAATCTATCTTTATTGAGGGGTTATTGAAGAGTTGACTTCAACTGAGGAAAAGCTGAACTATTTCCCAAGTCTTGGTATTCTTTACTTGAAGCCTTAATTCACTTGTTGGGATTTGTCAGTCATTTGCTTACTACTCCAGAACAAAAGAAATTCATGAACTTTATAGAGGAAGAAAGCAGACATGTCTCAGGCAGGCTGGTGCTTGCTTGTAATTCTAGTGCTTAGGAGGCTGAGGCAGGAGGATTGAGAGTTAGAGGCAAGCCTGAGGTACATGGTGAGTGATAGGCATGTGCCACCATCCCTGGCTTGCAGTCATTTTTTCATGTGAGAAATATAGGTTAAACTTTATAGAAAGTGATACTGAAAAGCTCTTCAGGGAGAAGGAAACTTTGTTGTGACACTACACTCTGGGGGAGTTCTCACCATCATAATTGATCAGGAAGCAGAGAGTGAGCTGTACGTTTCAAAAAGACGTGCTGTGCTGTATTTTGTCTCTTAGAGAGCTGGAAGTCAGAGCAAATATAACTTAAATTACTAAATTACTCTGTGTCACTGGTGTATAGAGATAATTTGATGTTTTTGTGAGTGATTACTGTTTTCAGCAGATGATCCGCTTGTGATATCATGGTAGCACTGGCTACTCAATTACCCACATTTGTAGCATGTACAAAATCCTTTTAGGGCTAGGTCTCTCTTCCTCTCCTTTAAGCTTACTTACCTTAGGAACTTGAGCCTGAAAGGAGAGTAGTTTATCTTTTTCTCCCAGTGCATATTTCACATGAAATCAACAAATTAAAAGTAAGAATTTGAAATCTGTTTTTAGACAAGTGTTCCTTGATTGCTGGCTCAGAAATTTGTCCTAGACTAGACTATGAACATTTTATCAGTTCTTCACTTTAAATCATTTAGATTTGGAACCAGTTTAGCACCTTCCCCATTCAATAATCAGGGAATGTGGTACTGCTTAACACCTCCTCCCCCCATTTTTATGATGAGGGAGAAAGTTAATTGGAGTGCTCTTTTTTCCTCAGATATTCTTTGGAGAGAGAAAAAGATACATATACTTGGCTCTCCAATTTGGTAGATACCTGGGATATGAAGTCATAATGCTCTTACTTCTTTCTAACTGTGGCCATTAGCTGTTTGTTTGTAGTCTTGTGGCTTTACTCCAAAAAAAAGTGTCAATACAGTAGCTGCCCTTTGTTTCATTACGTTAAGAGGAGGGACATGCTTTGTCTTTCTTTAAATTTTTTTTTTTTTGTCTTTTTCCTTTTTTATCAGAACCGGGGATTGAACTCACGACTGCCTGCTTGCAAGGCAGGCACTTATGCCGCTGAGCTAAATCCCTAGCCCCCGACATGCTTTGTCTTAAGAACTGTTAGTTTAAAACAAAACAGTTTTTCCTCATTTACCTTGTCAAGGAGTAAAGCAGCCAGATTTGACTGGCTTTGATGTAATTTGATAACTCTTTAGGATGTTAGCTCTAAATTGAACCATGTGTAGAAGTGGCTGGGATAGCATTGACCTGTTTAACTTTGATTGAAATAGAAATATATTTGTTTGTCTTCCCTTAAAGAAGATGTGCATATAGGTATGGAGTACGCTTCATTTCGAGATAACAAAATAGTCCTTGCCCTCTGACTCTAACTGGAGTTCAGAATGATTACGTTCCCTTCATATCTTGAGTTCCTGATGAACCTTTTATGTCGATTACTGTCCCCCAGATGTTTCCCTTACTTTTTCTTTCTTTTTTGTGTTTCTGAGGCATGAGTCTCATTATACAGTTTATGCTGGCCTTGAACTGACTATATAGCCCAGGCTGGCCTCAAACTTGTGATGATCCTTCTGTCTTAGCCTTCTAGGTGCTGGGTTATAGGCATGTAGCACCCTGCCTGGCTACCTTTCCTTGTTTTCTGCCTACAGATTGACCTGCTACTGCCCTGAGAAAAGAACTCTTTGTTACTGTCCCTCTTGCATAAGCCTGGGTTTTTCTTGGTGAAAGGAAGGAAAGCCACGGGGGCTTTAAAATGGAAGGACTTCTCTTGCAAGCTTCAATTCTTACATAGCTGAAAATGTACTTAATATTCTCTACTAGTTAAAAGTAGCACAGGCTTGAGATAGTCTCACACTTCTCCACTGACAAGACTCCTGAATAACAGATTAGGGATGTGACTTAGTGATCTAGTATTGGCAAGGCTCTGGATTCGTTTTTTGTGTTTTTGTTTTGTCTTAAGACAGGGTCCCGCTTTTGCAGTTCAGGCTGGCCTTGAGCTCATTTTGTAGCCCAAGGTGGCTCAACTTAGAGTGATCCTCCTGCCTCGGCCTCACAAGTGCTAGAGTTACAAGCATGTGCCTCTGGATTTGTTCTTGGGTGGGGTGGGGGGGACACAATCCTGAATAGCCCAGCCCAGGTCACACAAAACCTCCTGAGTTCACCTAAATTGCAGCTGCTGTGTAACAGTGAATACAGGGCAGTTAGTGCTGCATAACAGTTAAAAGAACTTTAAACCTGTGCTTGTTCCATTCTAGAGCTGGCTTCCAGCTTTTTTCAGTCTAGAAGAGAATCACCCCTGTCTGTGTCATCTAGCTGTCTTCTCTAGCAGGGACTTACTACCTTTACAGCTTCCTAAACATACTTGAGAAATAGGTCTCATATTACTTTTGGCTCTTCACAGTGTCCTCTTGTCCTTGGTGCTGCTTGGCCTGCTTGAACGTCACACTTACTGAACACCTTCTTGAGCCAGATCCTGCGATCAGTTACTTTGAGAATTGGGGAAGAAGTGTAAAATTTACTTTCTTCCTTTAGCAGCTCTAAAATCTTATAAGAGAAGGGAGGTTAATATGTGAAACAGTACAAAGCAGTATGTGAATTTACAAAATTTATAGAATGGAAAAGACTTTTACAAATCTCTTACTTAGACTTTTATTATTTTACATATGAAAAAGTTGTGGTCCACAGAGGTTAAATGATCTAAGATCACACAATTGTCCTTTCTCCAAAGTGAACTGGTATTCGATGGAATGTTAAATTCTGTTGTACCCTATAGTTGCTAGAGAACAGAAAGAGTCTGGAAAGAGCTGATATCAGAGAGATGTGTGTGCAGGAGTTGTGATTTGAATTTTCCCTGTGAGATGGACAAGACAGCTTGATGAAGAGAGGAGAGAGGACATTGAAGGTGGGGGAAGTTACGTGGTTGTTTGAGTGAGAAAGACAACAGTTAGGTTATAGACTGCCGTATAAGGGCTTAGACTGTGAAATTGTAAAAAGAAGGTTGAAATTGTAGTAGGGTAAGGAAAGCCCCAACAAGTTTGATCTGGTCATTAAGAAACCTCAGAAGGTTTTTAGCTGATGATGAAAAAGTCGTGTGCATAATGTATTGCAAGAAGGAAGGCCTCGAGCCAGGAGTCAGGAGGTTATGAGAACAAGTCAGAGTGTGCACTTAAACACCTGCATAGGTATTGGGGATTAGGAATAAAAGGTGATTGACACATAATGAAAGGAAAACTTACGAGATTTCTGCATATCATCTAGTGGTGTTTGAGTAAGTTTCCTATGTAACTGAGCAGAGTGAACATTGATCATGATCTTTGAGCTGGACCCTGATTTGGTTGGTTGTAGTTATCCTGAATATCAGTGTGCGGGTCTCATTTCAGATGTTTTGAGTTATCCAATCTCAGGAAGTAAGAGCTAGGGGTATTTTTCTTCACTGTTTAAAAATCCTCATATTAGTATACTTTGTGGAAGCGTCTGTTGGTAAGAATTCTTGTCAGTCTTGCAAACTAGAGGTTCATTTAATCTTTAAGAAATGACGACTTGAGTTTTCTTTTCTTTTCTTTTTTTTTTTGGTCTTTTTCCTTTTTATCGGTACCGGGGATCGAACTCACGATTGCCTGCTTGCAAGGCAGGCACTTATGCCTCTGAGCTAAATCCCCAGGCCCCAACTTGAGTTTTCTCAAAGCAAATAATTTTGTCTTTTTTACTATATCTATTTTATCAGCTGAATGGACTATTTCCATATAGGTGCTGAGAATGAACTTTCAGTTCCTGTATAAGACTGAGGGGACTGGCTAAGAATTAGTCTTCTTCTTTTGGAGAAAACGAGTAAGAAAATACAGTGATCTTTTGGGGGTCTTTCCTGTTTTACTCCCGTAAAGCTGTAGACTGAAGTCACCATTGAACAGCTGCCATTTATGGAGCATTTACTGTG